AACAAACCAAGCAGATCAAAGAACTCGGAAGTAAAAGCAACAATCAGTTCTTGATGCCCTTATCAGTGGATCAAAACACCTGTGTACCTCACACCGGTATTTCAAGGTGTTAAACGAGGTCAACAGAAACTGGTTAATATTGTACTGAATATTTGCCAGACCACCTGATACACGTTATATAGAATATGGTCTACAAGTCTCTTCTTACTGAAGTGATATATCCCTTTACAATGAAGGCGATCATTGCTCCCCACAGCTTCCTTTTTTGTTGTTATATGTTAAATAAGTATTGCTACGATTGCTCTTGAGAAAAATCAGTCAATTGGGTGCCATGCTTGATACACGCTTAGGCGATCATGTATTTTTCGATACATTACTGAAGAGGCAGATTTTTCCCACAGTAGGTTCACATTTTTTTCTGCCGTAGACCAGCTGCCATCCAATATTATAGAAACCTGTCTGTCTTTCGATTTACCCATAGGTAGGGGGTGGAAAAGAAGAGGATTCTTACATTTCTAAGGGTTATTAGCACGTAAGCGAATGTCTCCGATTCCTCAATCCGAACGGATATCCATTATTCCACCGTGCCTCCCTGAGAAAAATAATGAAGTAAATTGCTGTTGGCTTCTGTCCGTTTTCTGAAATCTGTTGTCCTGTACTAGAAAGCAACTAAGGCTTGACAGGCCTTCTCGGGTGGGCCTATACTATACCAACAGCATCCACTTCAGAGGGGTAAGTTGCTTCTAAAAGAGACACCTTCCATGTTGATGTTTGCTCTATTCAAAACCCAAGAGAAATGTCACTATAGGCTCAAGTATAAATAACAAATATTTATCTATAGTCTCGGATATTCAGCACTGAACTAGAAAACTATAACGGGAAATTTATTTACAATTTAGAGCACAATAATAGACAACTGTTTCAAAATTTGGAAAGAAGCAATCGAAAAATTAAAAAGATTGACCCATTCGGTTCTTTTTAATCAAACTTGTTTTGATATATATATATATATATATATATATATATATATATATATATATATATATAAGTGTGTGTGTGTGTGTGTGTGTGTGTGTGTGTGTGTGTGTGTGTGTGTGCTACGAATGCACGGCCGCAATTTTCGACGGATTTGCACCAAATTTTACATGCACATGTTCCAAGTTAGCGGGAAGACCTACACCGACTTTGCATTTCTCAACTCCCATCGATAGTGGAAATAATCGATTTTTTCATGTTTCTACGACAGTTTTCATGAAGTTTGCGGCCATTTTCTACTGGCCAGAGTGAGAGCCAATAGCTGGCTGCCACGAATGAACAGGAAGATTCTATTGGCCAGCGTGAGATCAACAGCTGACTGATACGAATGTTAACTAGCATGCTAGCATACAAAAAAAATCGATATCTGCATTCGTCACAAGTGGGAAAAATTTAAATCGGCATGGCACTTTACTCCAATTGGCTCATTCGCTTGCTTAAACTCAACGTTGATTGTGATTCCGCAGAACTCGGTTGGGTGTGAAAAAGTATTTGCTGTTAGCGTTCTTTTTCATTCGGTTTTTCCAGTTACGAGTCCTTTTTTAAAGCTGATCGTTTTGTGTTCATTTTGTTTATTTCTTTTTTCGTAACAGATTTAATGTTTAGTATAGAGCTTGGAAAAAATTCGCAGTGTGAGATAGGCAAGAAGTAAGGCATGTAGCAACATCAACACGGCAAAGGGCACTCCTTTAAAGGCAAGGAAGGGCAAAAATATTTTAAGTCAAGTGATAGCGATTGCTGTGTAAGTCGTACGATCTTTGAATCAAGCAAGGGCAACACCGCGCCATGCTGCTAGTACATATATATAATGTCCCACAACGAGTTGTCCTTCTCCTAGACCAGGATTCATACCTTTGCCAAATTTATTTGCACGTAAGTGAATGTAATGGATTCGGCTGCATATATATATATATATATATATATATATATATATATATATATATATGTGTGTGTGTGTGTGTGTGTGTGTATGTGTGTGTATGTGTTTGCGTGCGTGTGTACGTATTTATAGATTTTATTAAATTTTATTAAAAGCGATTTTTATCAAGAATATTCCTTACAATATAAGCACTTAGCCTCGAACTGATTTTCATCGCAAACCTCTGACAGGAAATGGAATACATCAGTAAGTCATTGTATCTTTCTTAGAAGCTTACACCCAGACGATCTGTAAACATACAAGCAAATGAAGCATCCGTTAAGATAATTACTTTTCCAAAACAACAAGCCTTCTATTCAGCCTGTCAATTTGCCTTCAATATGTCGACATTCAGTCGAGCACGACTAAAAATAGTAAACAAAATACGAACTTTTTTTTGCTTTTACAATTTCAATAAACACTTAATAGCTCCTAAATTAAGCAGTTCTTTTAAACAATCATTAAAATTTATTTTGTTATCATTCGAAAAATATTGTAAAATTTCTTTAATACTTTCATTATTCCTTGCATTCATCAGACTGGGTTAGGTATATATAACTATAATCCCGTTTTGTTAAACATCGCTTTATTTTTCAAATGACGTCTGAGCAAATTTAGAATTATGAACATTACTTTTACAAAATTTTCACATTCAATTACCAATTCCTCCATTTTAGGGACAGAGCGTATGTAAATCTAAAACATTGAAATCAATACCCAGAGGTGACAGTTTGTTTTGTTCTAAACGAAATTGTCAAACTATATATATATATATATATATATATATATATATATATATATCTTAAAATATATATATATTTAAACATTTATATTTATTTATATGGTATATATCAACGAAAGCGCTTTTGTAGAAATAAATTGTGGCAGCAGAGATCAACACTCTATAATGATTGGTCTTGTCGTGAAATCAACCTAATATTTTTTTCTAATGGTCAACAGTTCCACACATAAAGTAGACGATATATATATATATATATATATATATATATATATATACTGGGCATTCGTGTTCGAGGATACCCGTATGCTAGGACGGCTTTCCAATCCCTAATGCAGACTGTCGCTCAGGCACATTTGTGTTTGTTCAACAACCCAAGAGCCCATCTGTGATTTATACTGTGCTGAGCAGACCTTAGTTACAGTTTCTGGGAGAGAGCGTGTTATCTAGAATGATCAACAATCTGAACAAAACCAGCACACTCAGACCCTCGGTCACGATGACTTGTGACTTCGTGCTATACACACACAAACACACACACTCTCACACGCACAAACACACAAACATATATACATATATATATATGTGTGTGTGTGTGTGTGTGTGTGTGTGTGGACGAAATAAATACTGTTAAAATAAATTGAGTGTCTACTCAAATAAGCTTATCTGTTAAAATAATGTTTAGAGTAATATGTCGCATGATAAACACACTAGTTCTAATTAATCGAAACAATCACTTTAGTTTCCTTTCTTTCATCATACAGTCACTTTTAGACCCTCTGGTGTGAGAGGATGTAATCGATTTCTCTTTTTTTCAAATTAGATTTGGAGAGGTGTACAGTAATATGAATGTCTTTTCAGGGTGTATGATGAAATTTGTTTGGCGTTGAAAAATATTGCGTCATCCGTGATTGCATCAGATTTTCATCACGACCAGACACTATTGTTTCGACTGTCAATTAGTTGTCCTACGGCCATTGACTGCGATGGACATTACTCCAAAAAAGCGTACGAAAATTGTAAGGCTGTACGAACATATTGGCAAGTCTTACAAGCGAGAAAACCAAAGTACTATCGACTGGCCCAGAACCTCACCTGATTTAAATCCAATCGAGAATATGTGGTCAATCTGCAAGGAACGACTTCGTGACATGGACATACAAAGTAGTAACGTGTGCTGTGACTCGGTCATTTTCATTGGAAAAAATACGAAAATAAGCAAATAATAACGGAACTATTCGTTTTTATCAATTAATTTACACAAGGATATATATATATATATAAATATATATATATATATATATATATATATATATATAAGTGAACATTGAAATCAACACTCAGAGGTGACAGCCTGTTTCTTGCTAGACATGAAACAGCCTGTTACCTCTGCATGTTGACTTCAATGTCCCCTTTATATTTTTACATACGCTCTGTCTCAGATAGTGAGCACTTTATCCCATAAGTATAGCACACCTTAAAACTATATTTTCATACACACACACACACACACACACACACACATATATATATATATATATATATATACACACACACACACACACACACACATATATATATATATATATATGCCTATAATCGTTTTTTAATTAAATGATTACGGCTAAATTCAAAAGTCTCTATTATTTAAAATATATAACATAAATTAATGTCTTAAACTAAAATAATATATATAATAACTACATTATAGGAAAAACATAAATAACAACATTTGCTCACTTTCATTTATTAGACATTAAATTACAACATTTAGCATCCGCCATAGTTTACCTTGACTTTCAGTTAGCTTGAAGCATATTTATCATGCAGATTCAATGAGACAGGAATATAAATTAAAGGCGTATCCCGGATCCAACGAGATCAAACAGTGGTTTCTTCTTCAAAATGGTTGGAGTTTCATTCCCTGCCGGGACGTGCATTTCTTTTTACCAAGATTGCTCGAAGGATAGACGTAATAGACACTATTTAATAATGAAAAACGAAAGTCAGTTCGAATATGATGTATCCAAATGGTTGAAAGTTACTTTTCAAGTCAGGAAATGGCTTTTCATGGTTGAAATATTTCCCTCCTTTATTTAGAAAAAAGTATATATATATATATTTTTTTATTAATAATGCTTCAACAAATATATATATATATATATATATATATATATATATATATATATATATATATATATATATAATTTTTATTGAAAAAATATGTTACATCGCTACATAAAAATTTCTGTATTTCGGAACTTAAACTTATTCTGTCATCAGGCGATGTTAGGTGACTTACCGAAATTAGGTAGAGAGGAAAGAGATATAGATATGACCAGACAGAGATAGATAGATAGATAGATAGATAGATAGATAGATAGATAGATAGATAGATAGATATGGACAGGCTGAGATAGGCTGGTATAGATATAAACAGACTAGAAGAGATAGATAGATAGATAGATAGATAGATAGATAGATAGATAGATAGATAGAAACTGAGATAGATAGTTATGTACAGACTATGTATATAGGCAGCATTTTTTTCATTGATGCATTTCCATTTGCCTATTTATTTTATGCAAATTCCTGATAAGCTTAATAACATTATCATTGAAATACGAAAGAAAATCACCATATTGATACATATTTTTTAATCCAATCTAAGCTTTCGGCTTACATGAACCATTATGACGGCTGATGACATCACACATGATCACGCAAGAGTAAAAACGAGAAATGTTAAGTATGGGAACCGTTGGTATAAACCAGTGGCTTTTGTTATCAATTATAGGCATTTCAGTATATTTAGGGAGTTTTCATAGTTTATTTTGTGCAGGTTAGGTCTCAACTGTTTTATGTATATAGCTTCAAGAATTTTTAGTTTTTGTTTATTGTTTTCGTGTTTAAGTATAGTTTTGTTTTCAACAAAGATTTTCTGGAATTGTGTATGCGGCCAGGCATGTTGTTTTAAATGCCTAAAAATGTTAGAGTTATCATTCAAATATAGAGTCAAGCGTTGTGAAAGCGAGTTTGTGGTGTGACCAACATAAATATTATTTAATCCATTGAGATATAATCTCCCAGAGGGCACTTGAATTTGTAAACTATGTTGTTTTTTTTTTGCAAATTGCAAGCGAGGGGGGGGGATCATTGGATATACTATATTTAGTGTAGTATATGATTAACTTAATTTGTTTGCTAGGATCTGTTGTAGATATATTAGTATTTACCAAATGTTTTTAGTATATTTTCATCTTGTTTATAATTGGTATGCATTTGATCACGATATAGGAGATTAATTTGTTTGGGATTAGTTGAAGCAGTATTATGTTCTATTTGCTTAGTATTGAGACTTCTAAGAAAGCATCTTATTTGTTCATCAACTATATAGTTTGGAAAGCTATTATTAATACGTCTTTGTTTTATGTTCTTTAGCTCACTGTAAAAAAATCTGTTTTGTGGATGAATTAGTTTCTGCACGATGTATTAGATTTTTTTATTATTGCTATTTTGTAGTAATATGGACATTCGCTCTTATGGTTAAGTGTACACGACTTTTTGCTGGTAGGTTTTTTATATGGCGAAATAGTAAATTTGATATTATTTGTGTTTATCAATATGTCAAGAAAGGGAGATTTATTATTAGTATTGAGTTCATATGTGAATTTAAGGCTAGAATTATTTTGGAAACATTTTTGAAGTTGAAGGATTTCATCTTTATTTTTAACTAACATAAGGATATCATCAACATATCTTAGGTAGATGGATGTTTCTGTAAATATCTTATTTTCGAGGTTTGACATGTAGAAATTGCTAAATGTCGGACCCAGTACTAAACCCATGGAGACACCATCACGTTGCATATATATATATATATATATATATATATATATATATATATATATATATATATATATATATATTATTATTATTATTATTATTATCTAAGAAAGGGACTTCAGTAGTACAAGTTAATAGTAGTTTCTGTAATATATTAGGATTAATTTTAAGTGGGGGTAAAGATGAGTTACTGTATATATTTCTTATAATTATGTCAATAGTTTCACTAACAGGGACATTGGTAAATAAGTTTTCAAGATCAAATGAAGCTATGATTTCATTGCTGTTTTTTTTTTTTTTTTCACTTTTTAGGATTTGGATTACTTCTAATGTTGACTTAACACTATATTTACTAGGGAGGTAGGGAGTAATAAATTGGTTAATGTATTTTGTTAAAGGATTTACAGGAATTGGAATTTGCGATATGATAGGACGGAGAGGATATTGAGGTTTATGTGTTTTTATAGTGCCGTATATGTAACCAGGTCTATAATCACCAACAATTTTAGGGAGTTTTAAAGAGTTCTGTTCAGCATTGTTAGCATTAATAAGTTTATTAAGCTTTGATTTTAGTTGGTTGGTTGGTCGGGTTCTTGTTAAGTTTTTTTAAACTTTATGTGATCATGGAGTATGTGGTTAAGTTTTTTGTTGTAAACCAATTCGTTTAGGCTGTCGGAAATGTTGGTCTTATCAACTTCTTTTACAATTATTTCAGGGGGTTGCGTAGTTCTTGTGCGTCAATTTTCAGTTGTTTAGAAAGTATTTTTGAGGAGTTTCTGCTTTTATCATGCCGATCCTTGAATGCCTCGGCCTTAAATAAGTCTTTAAATTCTGCTGTTTCTGTTAGTTGTTCATCCTGGAGTTTAACAATGTGTTGGTATAGCGTCTCAATTTCAATTTTTTAAGAAGTCGATTATACTTACGGTATATATGACAGTTAGGTCCAAGGTTAAGAAATTCTTTTTGGTGCTTAGTTAGTTCATAGCTAGAAAGGGTAATGAATTTATCAATTTTGTTAGGAAGAGTGATAGTACAGACTGAGATAGATAGATAGATAGATAGATAGATAGATAGATAGATAGATATGAACAAACTGAGATAGATAGATATGAACAGACTGAGATAAATACACGTGAACAAACTGCGATAGATAGATAGATAGATAGATAGATAGATAGATAGATAGATATGAACAAATTGAGATATATAGATAGATATAAACAGACTGAGATAGATGTGAACAAACTGAGATAGATAGATAGATAGATAGATAGATAGATAGATAGATAGATAGATATGAACAGACTGAGAGATAGATAAATATGAACAGACATAGATGTGAACAAACTGCGTTAGATAGATAGATAGATATGAACAAACTAAGATAGAGATATGGACAGACTGATATATATATATATATATATATTAACAGTCTGAGAAAACGGCCAGCGTTCGAGTCCCAGTAAAGGAAAAAGTAGGTGTCAGACAAGTTATTCCAACTTGAATGTTGTGTCAAACGGCATTTCCAGACGGTGCTAAGCTCAATCTATACACGCACATTTGTTTTTCTATTCGCACCTGGCAACATTTCGCTGTCTGTCGTCCGAAGGTAAACTAAGTAGATATCAAAAACCCACAGCCTATTGGGCTGACGTGAATTCTTCATCGTTATCTTGCAATTGATGCTGGTCACGATTCCTGCAATGCGTTTTGGAATCTTTTATTTTCGTGATTCTTGTCGAGGTAGAAGCACCTTCTGACTTATTAAAAGAACTCAAGGGCCTTTCAACCTGAACATTCTTTTTTGATATAATGAAGCAAACCATATAGGATGCTACTTACCTCCTTATTTTTCTTATCAGCTAGAAAGATGAAGAATCGACATCAAGCAAAAAAGATAAGAGAATGTTATATAACAAATGTTTTATTCGTGTGGTTTGGACCATTTTCCAAGAGATTCTGGAATCATAATTTATTTGCTTCTTTTTATGCTATTTATCAACTTTTCAAACGGTAACGATAGTTTTTCTTAGAGGTTGGGATAGGTACGTGTTTGGGGAGATTATTTCTGAGTAACTTAAACGAGATTTGAATTTTTTTTAGTTTTTTTATTTGTTTTTGTTTTTCCTGTTATATTTCGTTTCACTTTTATTTTATTTTATTTTTTCTCCTTCTTTTTTTATTTTTTCTTTCGCTATATGATTTCTTCGCTCGCCATTTTTATTTATTACTTATCTTTATTCTTTATTTTTGTGGTTGTGTCTATTTGTTTTTCTTTCAGTCTCTTTTTATTTCTCCTCCCCTTCTACTTTCTTTGTCTCTTTCCTTTCACTTTTTTTACTTTATTCTTCTCGTTGTATTTTCTTCGTTTTCCGTTCGATTTTTACCTTTTCTTTCAGTTTCAGTTTTATATATTGCCTCCTTCATTTTCTCTCGACTCTTTTAATTTCGTTCATTGATATTTTCATTCCTCTTTTTTCTTTTTTTTTTTAATTTACTTCCTATTATTTCCCATTCCCACCTTCTCTTTTCCCAGCTAGTGGTAAATAGCAGGACAGACCGGGTTCTATAGTCTTGGATGGCAACTGGTCTACCACAGAAAGAAATGGTAACTTACTGCGGGGAACAAATCTGCTTCGTCAGTCATGTATCATTTATTCTCTATCTTTTTTAATTCTCTTTGTTTAAATATTAACATTTTTTGTCTTGTTAATTCTTTCTTTATTTCGTTTTTTTCTTTATTTTTCCCTCTCGCTCTTTTTTTTAGATACTTTTGTGTTATTTTTAATCTTCTACATTATACTTATTTTCTTTTTATTTCATTCTTTCTTCTTTATTTTATTCTTTCATTCTTTCTTTTTTATTTTCTTCTTTTCTTTTTCTTTATTTTCTTCTTTCCTTCTTTATTTTACATTTTCTTATTTTCTTTTTTCTTCTCTATTTTCTTCTTTTATTCTTTCTTTTATATTTTCTTCCTTCATTTTTTCTTTTTTCTTTTCTTACCTCATTTTTTCTTCTTTTTTTCTTATTTCATTCTTTTTCTTTATTTTCTTCATTCATTCTGTCTTTTTTTATTTCCTTCTTTCATTTTTATATTCTTCTTTCATTCTTTCTCCTTATTTTCTTCTTTCTTTCAGTTTTATTTTCTTCCTTCATTCTTTCTTCTTTATTTTCTCCTTTCTTTTATATTTTCTTGTTTCATTTCTTCTTTTTTATTTTCTGCCATCATTTTTACTTCTTTATTTTCTTCTTTCATTTTTTCTTTTTTTATTTTCTTCCATCATTCTTACTTCTTTTATTTCATTCTTACATTCGCTTCCACCGTCTTTATATGCACGAGTTTGTCGTTGCTTGGAAATCTTCCATGTAAACAGAAACAGACTATTATCACTGTCTTGTCCGTGTATTGCTTAATATATTGTACAGTAATTGTTATCTTTGATAATGGCTTATGTAAGCCGAAAGCTTAGATTGGATTAAAAATATGTATCAATATTGTAATTTTCTTTCTTCGTTTAATGTTAATGTTATTAAGCTTATCAGACGATATGAAAAGAATTTACATAAAGTAAATAGACAACACTTGTCGATATTATTTAATGAAACATGCATCAATATATATATATATATATATATATATATATATATATATATATATATATGTGTGTGTGTATGTGTGTGTATTATGAAATGGACAAAAGTCCATATACTATTTTAAGACATTTTGATGTTTATACGTTCTTTTATAGATACAAATATTTAAGTAAATGCTCTGTTTATAATAAACAGTATTAAACAACATTTACCGTCCTTTAATAATGTTGTTTAATACTGTTTATTATAAACAAGACATTTACTTAAATATTATATCTATAAAAAAAATATAAAATAAAATGTTTATATATATATATATATATATATATATATATATATATATATATATATATATAAGAAAAATGGAAAATACTTGTGACGCGTTTCATCCGTTAGGACTTCATCGGACGGTTGAAATGCGTCACAAGTAAACTTTTTTCATATTATCATGTAATTTACAATTTCGTCAATACTTTTCTTGTTATATAAACATATATATCGTTTCTTCATGCATACACACACACACACACACACACACATATATATATATATATATATATATATATATATATATATTCTTCCATATTTATACACAGAATCATGGTTAACATAGCTGATAAAGGCAGACAAATTTATGTCGTTAACTATAGCGGAAAAATTATTAAGATAACGTGAGAATCTTCTCTTTAGCAGAACCTCCCTCGCTACTAGATATGTTTGCGTTTTTATGTCTAAGAGCGAAAGGGGGAGAGAAGGAGATCTATTACGTGTTTCTCCTGAGACTAGGGTGTCGGTTCGCCAAAGGATTGCGTCCGTTCCTTCTATACTACAACGCCACCGAGAGAGCGTTAGGAGAACACCACTGGTAAACAAGATGGAATAATCCCGCTTCACATGATAGTTTGTAAAGTATGTTAGGTTAAATGAGTCTCCAATGTTATATTCTTCCTCAGAATTTTGATGTCACTACTTTTATATAAATGAAAATTATAACAGATATAAATTGTCGACTTCATCAAGCGTCACAGCCCAACACTGGAGTGCCATCCCTCTCACAATTCAATTATACTAAACTTTATAATACCCGTATTTCTGCTGTTTGGCGTGCCGACACATTTGTCTAATGAAACAAACTATGAACCCGTTTGAATCTTTCCATTTAAATGAAGAGAATAAAGCAAATGTCCTCTATTGATTTGAATGGACAGTATCGAATCGAACAAAGAAATCATACTGATCGTTTCCACACTACTCAATAAGCGTGAAGAAATTTTTCAATTCTTCCAGATCACGCATGCGCTGTCGATGAAAACCTCACGAGACGCGCAGTAAATAGCCTCGAACTCTTCACAAACGAAACACCGTAATTTGTGTTGGACTGCTGTGTGGTTATGATTGATATGAATTCGAATCAGTGAATTTCTTCAAGCACAAACAATTTCATGTCGCGCCAGCCAAATGACAAACACGCCCTCCAATTCATTATGTATCTTATATAATTAAGAATTTCCCCGGGATGACTAAAATTGTGAAACCTACTACGCAACATACACGTTTTATTTACATTATTTACATGTGGACAATTGATTTCACCTTTATGGTTCCACGAAACAATAGCCTAGTAGACCAACGCTTTGGTTCGTGAATATGGTGACATTGTGATGGGGAGTTCAATCACTAGGCAGGTCAGTGTGTCTTTGGACTCAATAGAAAGGGGCGATATACGTCAACAATATTACAAAAAAGAACATGAGATAATCTTAGACGTAGGAAGTGGAACGAGAACAATCTACCGGCGTAGATTTAATAAAGTGTTTAGTTCGAAATTCTCTGAGAATTAAGCGGATTAAAATACACCTGATGAATACCGTAGAGCGCCAGAACCAAACGTTACAACAACAAAGATAAGGACAATAATCGTCATGTAAAAAAGGTAAATAATGATAACTCCTCATACACCTTTTATTTTTATGATTGTTAAAAATTACTTGTTTCTCTAATCAAAATATGAGGTCTATCTGGAAAGTACCCGTTCTATGTGGGATGTGCGGGTGGTGTAATGGATAGCGGCTCTGAATAAGAAATCGTGGGAATAGTGGGAATTGTATCTAAAAAAATTCATTGTTATTCATATATTCATAAAAAATGTTAATTCACTCGTAAAAAATATCCATATAATTTAAAATATGTTTTTTCTTTAAATAAATCAAAAAGGGTTCATAACCTATAAAAATCATATAATATTAACATCTGATCAGATGCTAATAAGATGCCAAAAACTTGGTTTCGAAAGGTCAACGCACCGCTATTTAGGGGGTGTGACGGACGAATAAAGACTCATAGTAATTTTCTAAGCCCGGTTTAGATGTGGCACAAGGCCGAAAGTATGTGGCACCTAGTGAGGATCGAACTCACTACTCAGTCGTATTTGTTCTAGCAAGACAAGCTTTCTAACCATTATACCACGTCGAGATTCGAAAACTTTCACATTTAAACTTAAAATGCACCTTTGGCGCATCCAAATTGTCAGTACCATTACATTTGTGAGTTAGCCTAATTATTAAATAAAACTTATGAATTGATTATATAGGATTTGACAGAGGAAGATCAAATTCGCAGATAAATATTTAGTGACCATCACGAAATTGTTCAAGTCTATAAATATTTTTACCTGATGACATGACTAGTGACATTCTCACTAATTTTGCATGCACAATTTTGGCATATAGTTTTAATCAATTAATAAAAGAATTATTAAAAGCAATGGGTTACAGGTATAGAATATCTTTCTCAAAGTCCTTGCAATTAGAAATTGTTCAAAGTTCAGGAATTTTAGGATTTCGAAAGGGTAGTATATTAGATGGATATAGGATTAACGCAATCAGCGTTGTGATTAAACAATCGGGTAGACCCAAAGCATTCAATTTGGATAGCAACACAACAGAGGAAAACGACTACTAAGAATTCTAATTCTTGGAGAAGATCACATTATTTTTTCTCAAGAAAACTTAGAATTTAACAGATTATAAAGAAAAAAATAATCTACGTTAAACCATGATAACCTATGTCCTA